GCTTCTGGTTCCCACATTGGACCTGCAGGTTCAGACTGGCTTTTGAGCCATGCTGTCAAATGGTGATGCAAAAGCACAAAGGGGGAATAAAAGAGGAGTGGAAGAGATCTCTGTATGGCAGAAGATTCAGACGAGTGAAGATCTGTGCATTTTCAAATTTAGAGGTGCTGTCAACTAGTTCCAGCTGTTCCTGCACTGGTTGTGTGGCAGCTGTGTTGACTGCTAAGTGACATCCCTCCTTGGACTTGCAGTCCGAGACCTTGTATTGCATCTTCGAGATCACAGATCAACTGATGATTCCACTCCTCTTGGAATGGGTGGGGGAAAACGTGTAATACTAGAGCATATCATAGGCAGAAAAAAAACAGATGTCCCAGGAGATCTACACTGAGTTTTTTCCAAAAATCTCGTTTTTCCTAAATCTTTTTCAGACTCATGAAGATCGTGTCTGGATCTTGTAAGGAAAAGGATATTTTCAAGATAAATATTTAGCTTTCCCTCTCCATATTGATGGCCCCTCATGCAAGAGTGCAGTGAAGGAGAGATGACCACAAGTATCCAATTTATACCAATTTATACTTGAGGTGAGAGATACTCATCTTTTTCTTCTTTTCTTGCCACAAACGCTTGTAGCTGCAATTACACAGCACAAATGTTGCTTAGCATTAATCCTCCTTTTCTATGGAGGTCCATTCAAATCCCGGAGGTCCCTCTGTCTTTTACCTTCACTTTCTTCCTTGATGGTTTACTTTTCATGGTTCAGTGATCCATGGTAAATCAACTTTTAATAGTAGGGTTCCAGGGGATGGATGGCTGCTCCAAGAAGAGATGTTTTTTTCTCTGTTGCCGTGGCATCCATTGAACTAATGACTCTTTATATCAAGTAGCTAGAAATGCATGGACAAAATTGCCTTGTTGCACAGCAGAATGGAAGGTGGTAGCCCATCCTAGATTTAAGAAGCTCAAATACCTGCAAATGTGAATTCAGGTGACTTTGGCATTCCCAATTAGGGAAGAGGGTTGTCCTCTGATTTGCAGGACATATATTGTAACACTTGAAATCCAAAAGTTTACAATTAGATGTTGATAGTGAAATGCTGGTGGTCTGGCCTTGTCAGGTCTGTCAGCCCTAACTTAGGTTGTAGCTGGGGTGACTGCTTTATCTCTTTCCAGGAGAGGTAAAGCACCCTCATTTTTCTTACCAGCAAACTGAAGAAGGCTTCTGAATGGTACCTCTGATGCTCTTTTTTATTTCTTTGACTTCCTGTCTTGCTGGCTTTTTTCAGTTAAAAGAACTGTGTGAAGTACCAGTTGGTAGCAATTCAGCCAAGAAATGAACCAGTATCAGCCAAGACCTGTTTCTGCACAGCAATGGATCACTTGGACAAGCTCTTTCTCAAAATGCAAACTGGTTTTCCTACGGGAAGGGCCCTATTTCAGCCTATCGTTCAACTGGCTTCCACCCGTGTCTGTCTTAGACTGTAGTACTTGTAAGTTCAGAGGGGCCTAGTGAAGGCATTTCTTTAACAGGGAATACTTTACTTCGTTAATATCTGAATTTGTTTGTTTCCAGATGTGAGTATTTGTCAGGTTTCTGATAAGTAATTTTGTAATTCGGTGATTATGAATGACTGAATGTGTTATCTTGGTTACCGTTTTATCTGCAGTAGGATGGGTCAGAACCTGGTCCGTAAGTGTGGTGGTTGCAGTGTCTGTCACAGGCAGCGTGCCTGGGGGATCCTTCTGGCTGTTTTAAGTCTCTAGTAAGAGCTTTCTGGAAATTAACTTGCCCATTTTCATTCATGTTGCCCTACCTTTTAGGCAAACTAATGTTTCCGCATCATGGGTGGAAACAGAAACTTAACTCTGCATTCAGGGACCCAAGCCTTGCCCTTCCTCTGAGCATCGTCTCCCTTTGAGAGGACCAATGTGCACAGTCGTTCTTTTCTGATACAGTCTCATCGCTCTGCTTTGTCAGATCTCTCCCACCTGCCCCTTTCAGCTGTTAGAGAAGAGGATCTCTACAAGAAATGTCATCCATATGCCTGCTTGCTTTTCTGTTGCCCTTCTCGATAGTCAAATATGTATCAATATTGCGGGCTGAGAAGAAATGGGAGTGTGCTCCAAGTGGCATAGCATGTGTTGAGAGGAGCTGACGCTGAGATGGGAATGGACCTGTGGAAAGTTGAGTCCAAAAAAGCCTGGTCTTGGGTGTTTGTCCTACAGGGGTGGAATGGGTGCTTTGGTTTGGAAGTCCCAGAGGAACCGAGGCAGAGATAAAGAACTTCCTTTTCTGTTGAAGACCAGTTACTGGAAATGTTTTGTTCTTCCATGATACTTTAGATGTTTGAAGAGGATATATTTCACAAATCAGCTGTCTTGAATGAGCTTTAGGCACTTTGGACTGGCAATGACCAAGTTTAGTTGTAATTTGATCAAGATGAAAAGGTGTAGAAGGTCACTAGTACCTCTCTAGAATTGCTGTTGACTGTATTTAAACTTTGTTCTTCGAGTTGGAGCCTTCTCTAACCACAGTCAGCACTCATTTGCAACACCTCACCCAATGGCTTAGCAGTTTGAAAGCAAGACTGCTGTTAGGAAAGGGCACCAGGTGCCATCCTGGCATTTAGCTGAGATGCAGTTAGGAGCTTTCCAAACACTTTATACCTGTGGGAAAGTATTTCTAAGCCTGAGGATAGGATGCTCTTCACAATGTTATGTCACAGTGATGATGCACAAAGTCATGCATTAAAGGAGCAATGTAAGCTAAGCTAGAGGCAGAAGGAGCGGCTGTGAGGGACGTGCTCTGCCTGTGTTGAAATCATCTGATGGTGATAAGCAGTTGGATATGCCCAGATGAATAGTCTAGTGTAATGTAGTCAAACTTGTGCAAAAGAAAGTCTCTTTTTTTTTTTTCTTTTTTAATTGATTCTGTAGATCACTATAGTCTAAGACAGCATGAAATTTGAATTGTGTTGATTGCACTTTTTTTGCTGCAAGCAAGGGCTCAGGCCTGGGGACAGTTAAAGCAAAGAGAAATAGCTAGTGCTGAAAACAGACTAGGTTATTAATACTTTAATGAGAAGAATTTATAATACGTTAAACTAAAGAATTATAGCACTAGGAGTATACAACAGCAAGTATCTGATTGAAGTAACTGCTTTGTTTAGTAGGGTGTTTAGTCTCATCAGTTTAAGGCATGAATAGTTTGGATTCTCTTCTCAACACAACTACATCAAAATAAAAAGCCCTATGGAAAATAAAACTGATTGAATGAAATGAGGTCTGGTGTTCAACTTAATGGTATTTCTGTGACTGTGGTTTCATGTATTTAAATTCATGCAAGAACCCTGAGTGCTTAAAAATAAAAAATAAACAAACTGATACTTACAAATATTCCAAGTCTCTGGGAGTCTCACTTGTAGACATAGAAGCACGCAAGTTCCTGATTAATGAAAAGTTTTTGTTTGATCACTTAAGTGTGACTATTATGTGTCTCTTTGAAATGTTGTATTTAGTTGTCTCAATCTTGTTACGTGGTTTTCTCTCCAAATCTCTAAAATGAGAATTTACTATATTAATGTTTCTGATTAGGATTGGAGTTGTTGCATCTTTGTTTCAGTGGGGAAAAATGGGTGGAATTCGCAGTTATGGTTAAGTTGCATACAGATCTGAATTTTCTTTGGATTAGGAAGTAGTAATATATATTAACTTTAAAACCTTTTTTTAGTCTGTGGGTTTTTTTCTCTGGTTTTTCTGGCCCTTTAAAATTTTTATTTTAAAAAATATCTTTCAGAGTTTTGATCAGAGTTAAGGTTATATGGTAGTGAAGCCTTTTTTTCTTTATTTTATAAGAATAATAGTCTTACCGCGTGGTGGCTCTCTGTGTCTGTCCAGCTACTGGAATTCTGCAACTAACAAACTTACATATTGTAGTTTAGAAGCACTAACTAGATTCTGGAACAAGGAGTTTCTTTAGAGAGAGGTGTGTATTTACGTAGGTAATTGAATATCTGAACCTTCCAGGCTGTTAGGGAAATCTGTTTCTAAATTGGTGAGGGGAGGTGTTGTTTTGTTAAGGTTAATAATTAGCTGATATTTAAATAACTAAGTTAGCAGCCTGGACAGCACTAGTAGTGCTTTGTTGGAAATAAGCATCATTCGGGCTCAGATCCCACACTTACCTGAGTCAATATACATATTTGTGTTGCCTTCAGTAGGTATCGTATGAACCCCTCAGTACACATGGCAGACATGTACATTTCAGTGTACCTGTTATTAATACCTGTTATATACAAATATATATATATTTGTATCCCTAACCTGACTTCAGAGGATGACAGGGCAGAAAAAACATTCAAAAAGGGAATATCATTATCCATGAAACATAATCCTTCAGCTGTTGTGCTTTTGTCACCTGTTTTAGAAGAGGAATAGTGTTCTGCACTCGTCAGAGCATCTTTGTTCCTTTAAAAGACGTTTTCTGTTTCTAGGCAGAATATAACGAGCTCGGAATTGATAGCAAACTTAGAAAAAGCAACTCTGGATGGATGTTTGCTATAGGATGGCTTTCCCTATCTGTCTTTGGCTTGCGTTTGCCTGAGCAGACCTCAACACTGTCATGCAATCAGCCGGTAGAGGGTAGCATGTTCATGAAGACATTGCATTGTCCGAGTCTTCTGTCACTGATTAGGTAACAACAAACTGCTGAGTATCAGACAAACTGGCTTGATTCAATGGTGTTTTGAAGCCATCTGATACCCCGCTAAACACCAGAGATGAATTGCTGAGACATTATAATGGCTATCTCAAAGTCTGAATTAGCCACGCAGTGACTTTTGACTTCTGGTAAAAAGCTTGTTGGAGGCAGAGATTGATTATGGATCCTGGGTAGTGACTGTGGTTATAGTACTCCTGTTCTATCACAAATGAAATAAATATTGATTCTGATAAGTCTCAGCTGCCTAACTTTATTTTTCTCACTCCCTCTCAGTGTTGGACTTTGCCTTGCCGGCCCACTGTTGCCATGGGTATACCAGTCTTCATACTCGCTGGTCTCCTTGTGCATTGTGTGTTCTTGGTCTCCATTTTTGACATCTACTTCAGCTCTCCCCTGGTTCACGGTATGACTCCTCAGCAGACTCCACTGCCACCTCCGGCAAAACGTCTCGTACTCTTTGTCGCTGATGGTCTGCGGGCAGATTCGCTGTATGAGTTGAACAGCAACGATACACCCCAAGCACCTTTCCTGCGGTAAGTCCATCTGAAAACACTACTGATCCAGAAGATTTCGCTTCTGGAGGCAGCTCTGTGTAATGTTGAAAAGAGAACAAGAGGAACGATGGCAACTGTGGTGGCTTGGGTACTGCCTTCCCTCTGCCTTTGAAGTAACAAACTTTGCAGTTACACTCTGCAGAAATGCGTGAGTTTGAGTTGGTGTCTCTTGTCAGTAAAGCTGCTAAACCATGAACAGAGTAAATTGAGTCAGTATTGTCCTCTGAAAACCACAGCTAGCCAGTAACTGAGAGGAGTGTGAACTTTCCCCATTCACATCAGCATGGTATCAATTCTGAAGCCTAACAGAGTCGTTAATTTAAACTGCTTCCTGGATGTTCAATTTAGGAGTAGTAGTTCATTAACGTGCTTGTCTTCTAATTCTAAGCTACTGATGAAGCTTTTTAAGGAGTGATTAAAAAAGATGGCCTGGATGGATCTAACAGCAGGCTGCCACTTCCTATTTGTTCCACCCTTCCTGCATGCGTGACCCTGCTGCCTCCCTTGTGCTGACTAGTGTGTCTCTGATTGCTTAATGGAATGATTTGGTTTAAGTTTGTGAAAAACTAATCCTGCCAAAAAAGAGTGTTAAAGGTCATATCCTTGAGTGCTTCAAACTCATTTTCACCAACCTTCCCTGTTTCCTTATATCAAGATAATTATTTGATCATAAGACAGATAATTTCTTAGCATTAAATAAGACTACTTTTGTGTAATAGCACTGCTCTGGCTTGAATATCGGAGCAAAACCAAATAATCAATCATCTGAAGCTGTTAGGATGTTTGCAGTCTGCTACAGACATCTGAGGTGCCCTTGCTACAGCACTTGACAGTTTATATGGGATTACTTGTACCTGCTTCTCCTGTTGTCAGTGTTTTTGTATGGTGCTGTCTGACACTGGCAGGTGTCTGTCACATCGGTGTGAGTTTTGCATGTTGTCTTTTAGCAGTGGACTTCACACTTCCTCCAGAGCAGTTTCTTCTCTTAGCTGTAAAGCTTTTGGTCTTTTGCACCATGATCAAGGTGTGAATGCTATAATGGCCCCATCACTAGGAGCAGTGGTGAGTAGTGGCTAGGAAAGAGTTATAATGGATATTTTTGCCATTAAGTGGTTTGAGTTTTTCAGTTTCAGCCATTCAGCATTATCATGCCTGTCTAGAAATAAAAAGTTAAACCATGTATTAGCTTGTCCAGTGTTGGGAAGTTGGTACTTTCGCTGTCTCTGCTTTACCTTGTTTGTGGAGTTACAGACTTTCTATTTTAAAATCTGTAGAAGTGAAACATTGTCGCCTGTGCTGAAAGTACATGGGTAAATGGAGGGGAAGAACTGCCTTGTAACAAGCAAAGATGCTGGTAGGTCACTGAGTGGACTAAAATGCCAGTAGAGGTTTGAAGTCCCATCTGTATTTCTCTTGTTGTCTCTCATTCTGCATATAAATACATATGTGTATGTGAGAGATGGTGAAAAGAAAAAACACGTGGCATGTTGTGCCTTCTGAAAGGTGGAGGGCCAGGCAGTCCAGGGCGTATCTTCAGCTCTATTACATAAACTGCTACAATTTCGAAGCAAGAGGCTCAGTGTTTTGTCACCGAACCTTTGAGCTACACAACTTCATAAGTTAACCATGTAAACAGGCCAACAAGATCAGATGTTGGTTACTAATAATGTTCATAAGCATTGTTATTATGGGTAGCTAATGTTTATACTGTCAAGGAAATTAATTTTTTTAAAATGGTTCTTGTGAGTAAAAGGCTTTGAAATAATTCAAAATAGCTAAATGAATTTTGAACAGGTAAATAACAGTATCTGGCTATATTTTTTCTGCCTGGTATGTGTTATTGTTGACTTCAGATCCTGTGATACAGCCCCACAAAAGCAAAGGTAAAGAATTACTTTCCAACTCAATAGAAATCAAATTCTAATTAAAACAATTTCCTACCTGTTGTGACCATGGAGTGTGAGGCGGGCCAGAAGTGTTTTATTTTTGTCTTAAATCTTCCACTAATGCTAGTGCAATACATTTTAGTCAGAGTCTCCAGTGAGAATAAATTGAAACCACTTTAATACTTAAATCCTTTTTTCAAATTAGTACTTTTTTCAGTACAACTTGTCTTAAAACCTATGTGAGATGAGAGCTAGGAATAACATGTCAGAGTGCTATATCAACTTTTACATTTTAAACTATAATATTTGGGCTATTCCAAACAGTCCTGTTAGCTTTCAAGAAGGCCTGAGAATGTGATGTCTAAGATGAGTTAAAAAAAAAAAAAAAAACAAGCAGCAAACTGTGTGAATCCTGCAAGCTTAGAGTGGAGCCTGAAATTTTAGGTTGTGGTTTGATTCTTACTTCATTAGTGAGAAATATATTTAGAGTTGAGTGCTCAGATCTTGTAATTAATAGTTGTATAAAACATCTGTTAGAAATAAAGTTACAAAGCATGAACTTAGAATCAACTTGGGCTAAAACACATCCAATAAAAATATCGCAAATTTTGTAGCTTATATCGTGAACAACAAGAATGCAATTTCCCGGTAGATTTGACTCTTAAAAACTGCTTTGAATTTCTTCATAAGATTCTGCTGCTTTTTTCCTAAACATTGGTATAAGGTATGTCCTGGTGTGTTTTGTTTTCTTTCTTTCTCCCGTTGCTCTGATAGTGGGCAGTGAATCTTTCTCTTCCTCCAGAAGATGGAGACAAGAAAACAGCATATGGTAATGCTCACCTCTTGCTCTCCAACAGGCTCCAGCTGTTCGTATCTCCAGCAGACAAGAGTAGTTTATGAGACTGTTTCTTACACTTGGGCTTTGTCCTCTATTTTCTTTGCTTTTTATCTCTTATAACTATTTTATGTACATAATCCCTAGACAATTTATGTATTTCTGTATATGTGATGAGAAGGTATTCTCCTTCACTGCAGTGTAATTGCAAAACATAGGAGATTTACTTAAATTTTCTCCATGTTGCTGAAATGATTTGCTGTAGATTTACGTGGGTTTTAAATTCTCTTGAAGCTGCCTTCCAATATTCAGCACAGCTGAATAGGCAGACATGGTCACAAGAACTAATTATAATTGAGCATATTTAATGAGTAAGAAAAGATTGAACTTGACACTTTCAAGCTAAATGGAAAGAACAAAGAAAAGTAACACCCGGCAGAAACAATTTGTTAGGGGGGAAAAAAAAAGCAGCGGAAAAAATTAGTATGTTAATTCTAAGTGTATTAGAACATCAGCTAAACTCATCTGTTTGCAGTACTGATGGGCCACGATAGTAATGTTCTCTGTGGGGTGTTATAATGTAGAACTACTTGCAGGTTAATGTTCTGCTTGTTTTGCTGTACAGCAGGTGGTAGTGAAAATCTATTTTAGTCTGGGGTTTTTTTGCATTTCCTGCCTCACATCTACCTGTCACTCTTTTTATCTGCAATTCGTTGTACTTTCAAGAAGTCATAAGCATTAACTGCCTTGTATCCTGTTTTCAGGGGTGTTCTAGAGAATAATGGCAGCTGGGGAATCTCTCACACCCGGGTCCCAACGGAATCCAGGCCAGGGCACGTTGCGCTTATAGCTGGATTTTATGAAGATGTCAGTGCAGTTGCTAAAGGTATGCTGGTCCTAAAGCTTTGAACACTGTCCTCCAAAATAAGGTGTTTCAGTGATGTGCTGGGCTTCTAGATGATTATTGATAAATATCTGCATAGTGGTTTGTATACCAAGATTATATGGAAAAGAATAATTTTGGATGGATTTCCCACTCTTAATAGATGGCTAAGTAGATGTCGTAAACAAGAAGTGAACTGCAGTATCTTAGCTGAACCATTGCTAGGTTGAGTTGGAGAATCAGTGGCAAAGTAAAGCGAAAACCCCAAGTATGTGTTTTGTCCAGACCTAGCTGTTACTGCATGCTTGGTTGTTAATAATGTGGAACTAGCCTTCGCATTACTGACTTGGTCTTTTGTGTGGTCCTCTGCCTTCCCCCAGGCTCCCAGGCCTGAACACTTGTAGTGTTGTGTGTTGGTTTTGGAGAGGGGAGGTAAGAGGAATTACTTGGTCTTGTCCATGTTCCTAATCAAAAGGTTCTTCGTTCTGACATCTGCTACAAATGCAGGATTGTCAGGAATTGCTGTTAAGAGCATCTCTGTATTTCTGTCAGCTGCCTTGTCATGGAAACAGAAGATCTTGAAGGTTTTATTGTGATGACGTGGAACGGGACTGCTGAAAATATGATATATGAGTGTGTAATTTATTGCCTAAAATGCCAAAAGCTGAGTTCAGACAACAGGGGTTTAGAATTCAGAAGAATTTTAGCTGTTTAGAAGGTAAACCAGCTGTGTGTTTTGTCTGTTTGAATCCCTGCGTAATGAGATTGGTTTAGGTTTTCAGCTGACTACTTAATGAATGGGGGACTAATTGCAAATAGAGGTTGAAATGGAAGTAAAACCGAGACTTGCAAAGTGGAGTTCATTGTGAAATAATATAAAGGAAACTTTAAAAAAAACATTTTGCATGGACTATGAATCTTAGCAGTCAATGAGATCTTCTGGCAACCCCATTTAAATCTAGCTATGTTTGTTTAACAGGATGGAAGGAGAATCCAGTGGAATTTGACTCTGTTTTCAATGAAAGTAAATATACTTGGAGCTGGGGAAGCCCAGATATTTTGCCAATGTTTGCAAAAGGTAAGGTTTAAATTTTGTGAATCTTTAACACCTAGTTATCAGGTAATAATATATAGAGACACTTAAAATTTTTGAGTTAGAGAAGGTGGTGAATGAAGTATTTCCAGTTTGTATATTTATGTGTACCTGATTTCTAGTTTGCGAATTCAAGACTGGGTAGAGACAAAGAAGCAAGCTTTTAAAGAGGCTGTCCCTATTTATTACTCATCTGTTTAAACAGGCCTCCCCTAATTCTGTCAGCATACTAAAGGAAACACACCCTTAGTTAAAAGGACCTAATTTTTTTTTCTTTGGTTGAGGTTTAAAGCTCTCGTTTGCAACCTTGCAGCTGGGGTTTTTCTTCCTCTGCATGCAGCTCCCAGTGAGTCAGGTGATAAAACTGCAGCCATGCTTTTTGAGTGTCTGAGCTGGAGAAGTAGCTTATTGTGGGTTATCCTGCTTCTACTCCAGAACAATAATGTGTAAAGGGAAGAACTATATGCAAGTAAGAACTGCCTGGTACTATTCCTGAAGCTGAGGTCTTTTCCCCATGGTGTGCATTGTGTTAAAGTCGTCAGCCCCGTGCAGCTGGTGTTTGAGCATGCAGAGATTGCTGGGCAACACTTCAAACATTTGAAGGGTCTCCAAGTTTAATTTCATTTTGTTCTTGGAAGAATGAGGGCATATACATCCTTTCCCATAATTTCAGAATAAAACAGACTGAAGTGAAAATGGGACAAGCTAGGGGCATATGCTGCTATTCTGTTCTAAGTATTGGCATTGACAAATCAGAAAAATGTGATAGGCAGGATAGGAATGGAATCTAATAGTGGTTTAGAAAAAGTGTACATCATGTTTCTCGTGATGATTCTTGAACTTTTTCTGAACTCCAGTCTCTTCCTCTCCTCCTCCTAATATTCCCCCTCCCCCACACCTCTCTTCTGTTCTTTGCTTGATCCTCATAAGTTTATGGTAAACTGTAAAAATACTTCCTGATAATTTCCCGTGACCTCAGATTACAGCTTGTATTTGGGAATGTTGTGATGGTGGCTGGGGAGAGGGGAAAGGTAGTACACTGCCCTTGCACAGACTATTTACATTTTTAGAGATATGTTCTTGGGAAAATATTTGGGGAATTCAAGAATTTCCCAGAGCCCTGTCCTTCTACTAGTTTTGTTTGAGTAAGAAGATAAGCAGAAGGCTTGGAAGCAGCTTTGATGTTATCTGGAGGGATGTGCAATACTTTTGCTGTGACTCTCAATATGGCTTGTTCTGAGTGGCATCAACAACGGAGCTTTCTTTTGCAGGGGGAGGGAAATCCCCCCAAATTGAGAAAGGTTTAGTGCAGCACTGTATCTGAGAAGTAGATGCTGTATGGGAAAATGAATCAGTTTCTCATGATAGAAAGGTAGATTAACTACTTTTAGTAGAAAAAGGTATTTCCCCTTCTTCCAAAGAGAAGTTTTATAATATAGAAAGGATTTTATAATACAGAGTTTCCAAAGAGGAGAAGTTTTATAATACAGAAGGGCGTGGAATCAAGTGTTTGTTCTTTAACTTTACTTTTACAAAAAAGCCAAAAAGGAGGTAGGGGAGCATAGCTTTATTTCTCTCTCTCTTTCCATGTTGCAAATTAGTGAGGTCACAGGACTCTTCTTGTGTGTATTTTACCATGCCAAAATGTTCAGAATTTTATTAACTGTTTCACTGCTTTCATTGGACTATGCATAAAGAGTATGTAACACCTGCTGGTTTTTGGGAAGGAGAGATAAATCCTTTGTATCCTGTCATTGTCTATGTTCTTCAGGTCCCTTTCCTGTCATAAAATAAATATTTCAGAGAAATGGTTGAGGATTCTATAGAGAAGGTAAATAAAATGCTGACAGATCTCTTTCAATATCAAAGTAGATATGCATGAAATCTAAATTTGTCAAAATCTCAATGACTGTGTGATTAGTGTTAACTTAAGTTACACAAATTCAGTGTGCTAATTTTAACCTTATTTTCTATGATATTTTTATATTATGACCTTGAAATTATCTGAAAATAACGTTCTTTGAAAATGCCTATTTTATTTCCAGAATGCTCCTTGAAATTTTGAGTTTTTCTTCTAGGCTTGCCAGGATTTGAGGTTTGACTTGAACAGTCCAGTCCTGTAGTGTTTTGTCATGGGTCTAGATTGGAGTATAATCCAGAGTATAAATGCCACACTGAAACAGGAGCTGAGGCTGTTGCTTCTGTTAAGGGAAGTAGATATTAGTCCTTTGCACCCAGATTGCCATTTGTTCTACAGGTTCCCTTTCTCTCTCTTGGAAACTAGCAGCGAGGCTAGGGTCATTGTTTAGCTTGAGTATGAAGAAGGGTATCATCAAGACCATGGGGACAACCGGGGCAAACCTTTTTCAGGGTTATTCTGGACAGACAGACCTCTCAGCCTCCTCTTCTAGTTCCTTGTTCCTACAGCGCACCGAGAAAAATGCAGAATTTCTCACATTCCTCACCTAGCTGTGTGTTTGATGACAGCTCTCTGATGCCCACATTCTGTCGGCTCAGTGTCTGACTGTCCTTGCGCCTTCATTCTTTTTTTCCCCTCTTCTGTGCCTGCAAAATTTGCTAACAAAAGTCTCCTGCTGGTCTGGGCTCTGACCCATGAAAGGCTTGTCAGACACAGGGCTTGTCTCTGCCCCGCTAGCAGAGCGAGAGCTTTGCTTTCCGCAGAACGTAAATCTTATTGTAAGAGGGTGATAACTTGATCCCTGACCCTAATATTTGAATATTGATGCTGAGGGTGAGATGATGTGCCAGACAAGTCTGCAATAGGAATAGGTGGTATCTGGTGTGGGAGTTTCTGGTACCTCCAATTATTTCCCTTAGTGTAATGGCAGCACCAAACCCAGTAGAGCTCTGTGCTCGCTTCATCCCTGGCTTCCTTCTACTTCTTTATCCCATCTTTGCTTCCTCATCCCCAGACTTAAAGTATTAGGCATACAGTTGCCTGCCACCTCTCAAACAACAGAAATAAAATAATATTTTGTAATGTTTTGCATAGTAGGGTTTCTTATTTAAAAAGAAAAAAAATTATTTTATAAGCTATGCAGGCACTCCAAACTTTCCTAGTATGGCTTCATTTTGCCACTGTTTCTCTTTAGAGCAATGCAGGGTTGGGTGGGGTTTTTTTTTGCTCTGGTAGAAATTAGAAATGGGTAAGTAGTAGACGTGTTCCTTTGCCTGGTCTGCAAACTGCATGCTTTCATTTGGCTTCTTTGGTGTGGCACCTCTCAAAGACAGGTCGTCTCAGGTTTGCTGTGACACTGTGGAAAAACAGTACAGTGCTCTACCCTCTTAGACCATCAGTCATCCTGACAGTGATGGCCACGGATATTTCTTCTTTTGAACTCATTTATCCACCAATTGGAACTCCTGAATTCACTTTGTGATGCTTGGGAGTATTTTCTTCCTTTTCTTTCAGACTGTGAGAACGGCAGCGAGTGTTCTGGCTTATAAGTAGTAGTAATGTCTCCGGGGGGCAGGGGGGATCTGCACCAGAAAATCTGTGCCCGCTTTCGTCGTTCTGGCCTGAAATACCTGCATCCCTTGTGTGGGTTTGGACATAATCTTGGTTAAACAGCTCCTTTGTACTGGGATGTTAGTTCATTCACTGGAAGCTTATAAAACTGCAGTATATAATTGTGACATCCAGCAAATCGGTTATATTCTCTCTGGCCATCAGCTGATTGAAGAACATTTTCCCCTCTGGGAGTTTACGTAGTCACCGTAGAAATAGCATCCACGAGCTGTAACAGCTCAGCCATTGACTGAATTATTTCATTAAATCCCACCTAACTTCAGATTTTTCCAGGACTTCAGAAGTTTACTTTCTTCTAGGTCTTCATCTTTTTTTTCCTCCCCTTTCTCTGCTTTGCTCTCTTGACAGTGAGTACAGAATGAAACTGCGTTGTCCAGATGCTGTGTTTTCGCATCAGTGGCCTTCATGTTGTACTTTATGCCTGAACATAGTCCAGTAGTTCTCCCTTTTATATTTTGAATCCGTGTTTTAAAGATGCAGACTTTGAATATTGTCTTTCTGAAGTTGTCCACTTGGCTTTCGATACTGCGTTGCCTCGTAGAATTGATGTACAATAACTAACATCCATCCTGTTGCCTTCCTTATATGTGATTATATGATGATTTCCTGTGTAAAAGGCCTCATTGATAGGGCATTGTCTTGTATGATTCGGTTTAACAACCAAAAGCTAAGTACGTTTTCTTAAACACAACCCCCCCCCGCAAACACATGTGTTCAAACAAGGCTCTTAATGTGTAGCTTCCTCTGTTACAAGTTTCTCAGTGAAATTCCTTGTTTCAAAACTAAATTCTGTTTAATGTGCTTTAACTGGGATTTGTTCTATTCCCATCTGCTTTTCCATACTTTATTTCCTCACCTAAGCATACTGGATAACATTTCTCCTCATTCCTCTGAGGTGCTGATAAGCTAATGAGTTAAAATGGTATCCAGGCTTCAAAAAACCGTAAATTATGGGAATGTTTAAAGTAAGGAGAAAACTTCTTTGACTCAGGATTGTAATTCTTGATAGGTTTTCACTCCTATGCATTAATATTCATGTATTTTTGACTATGAGAAAAGGAAGAAAACTTTTCTGTCTCCTATTCCATCTATATTGTTTTTGCAGGTGCTACTGGAGATCACGTTTATACATTTTGTTACACGGCAGAAAGTGAAGACTTTGGAGCACAAGATGCAGCCAAGCTTGACATGTGGGTTTTTGATCATGTTAAGGTGAGCAGAGAATCTTTTTATGCTACCTGTGTATAAAAAACACAGCTGGATGTTAACTTTATCATAGAACATGTTAACTTTATCATAGAACTAGAAAGTAAGAAATTTTTGAAAGAGTTATCATTTGGGGTCATAAGTAAAAATTGCTTTAATTGATTGTCATGACTAATGTAATGGAAGCTTAGAGGAAGTATTTGTCATTTGATGCTGATAAAAAACCTAACACTAATAAAAGTACCCTTTAAAAACATTCTTGGCTTTTCTTTGTCTTAAATTTGCATAGAATCTGAAACCCATCTTAGACTACTTCAGACCCTTTAAAATCTTGAATGTGATTAGTTAAGGATTTTATAACAAGTATTATGGCATGGCAGAAAGGGTAAGTCTTCATTATGAGAAGGAAATGGACAGCATTATTGACTTAATTTTTGTCAGGCTTGTACCCACTGTAATTATACAGTGTGGCTTGTTCTGATGCACGTAGCTGGCTCCTGATGATCTACTGTGGTTCCTGCTATGCTGTGGCTGCCAGAGGAGTCACGGTTAGTTGCAGGGGGGCGGGGAGGGGGGAAAGGCAGCTTAGGCCCTGAAGCAGTATAACTTGTCGTGCTCGGCTCAGCTGACTTAGGTCAGTGCTGGTTCGTGACTGTTGTTTTCTGTGACGCTGTCACTGTAAGTATTAATAGTCTAAGGCACATAGTTTCTGATTATTCATTCATTCCTATATTCATGTTATTCCATGCTACCTCACTTGTCCTGGATTAAGGAGTGCATATTGGTGTATTAATATCTGTATCGGTGGAGCAATTAGGCGAGTTACTTTCTGGATCTCCTAACAATATTAATGGAGTTTAAGACTTAATAAAACTTTTTTCACAAGATCTCTGGACTGTATGCATTAACATTAGCTAACCAGCATAAATCAAATCAAACAAAAAATAAACCAAAGAAATCAATAAACCAAATCAGCATCTATATTAGGAAGCTAAGGGTGGGTCTGCTTTAAACAGTGGTGTAAGGTGGAAAAGTTCATTATAGTTTGCTAATTTTTAAAGGAAGTGATTTTCTGAGTTTGCAGGTCAAAAGATGTTTTTCCTAACTGCTATCCTCTCCCTGAACGTGCAGTTGTGCCAGGTTGCATGTTGTAATGTGTATGAATAATACGAATCAAATTAGGCTGTCAATTACACTTGAATAGCTGTTGTCTTAAAGTTGCACCCTGCTGTCGTTTGGAGCTGCACAGGTATGTGAGGGTGGTACTACCCTTCTTTTGCTTCAAAACACCTAATGGCGTTTCTTCTTTCAAACTATAATGATATGTTTAATATATATGTTATTACTGATTACTTTTTCCTTGGAACCAGCACCATGATTTTAAAGACTTATTTTGCCCATCTAAATTTCATTCTGTGAATGGATAGGACTTGATTGACTGATGTAAAACACTCATTCCATTAATCATCTCTGCAGTTACACATCAGTGATTGCCTCAGAAGCATGAAACTTGAGGCTGCTCTGCTATTATAACTCGAACAACTCTCAGCTATGCTGGTGAGGTTATGTATAAGTAACAATGATAATTTGCTGCAATCTAAATTCTGCTTTGCTTACATTTTTTTTTTTTTCTCCTTTGAGTTTTATCTCAAATATTTAACAACATATCGTTTAACTCTGTGTTGGGCAAGGTGGTCCCTGGATTTCTGCCTCTTTAGGAAGTAAAAGACACTAATGTGAACTCCCTCTCTACTGTGTAGTCAGCAGGGCAACTCCCAAGCATCACGAGGGCCACTTGTGGCTTCCTCTGCCCCAGAAAAGGTGAGGATAAAATGGAGAATGGCTAATTAATGTTTGGGCTATTAGTGCTGGCACCCTGAAATTGCTTGTTCTCTTAAAAGGTGCTAATTAACGATAACTCAGTTGGTCAGGAGATGTGAAACTCTGACTAGTTTTTATTTGTATGGATCACAAGCAGATTGCTTAAATCATGAGTGGAGGAGAAAATGTATGATACTTGATAGTTCCTGTCATGTCTGCTTGTGGTACAAGGTGATCCTAGCCCTTTCTTAGGACAGACAAAATTGAGTATAGAGTAGACTGGGTGGGGTTTTTATCTGCAGCTGGGTTAAAACTCAGTAATTTTAATGTGTGGTAATAGCTTGGGAGTGGCTTGGAGATCCAGATGGGTATGGAGTTGATTGACTATGTTTTTTTTCTGTTTTTTGGGTTTTTTTTTTTAGAAGCCTTCAAAATAATTAAGGGACTGAGTGTAATTTAGTGTGATGTGGCCCAGTGCTTCCTCAGTTAAATAACCTTTACCAAGATCATAGTTTGAGTCTGTGCTAAAGAAAAATTAGGGAGCAAAATACTGGGAGTCTAGGTTAACTAACAGGAAAAAAAAATGGTCTTTTTAATGCATTTCTGATTTTTTTTAAAGTATTTTGTGAAAAACAGTTTTAGAAGATTGAACTCTTTTGGGGGGTAAAATGATTAAAATTCCAGGAACTCAAACAGTCTTGGAGATGAGTCCCAGTAATGGTCTAACCACAGCTTATTATGACCACAGGGTAGGATACGCTCAAGGTATTCAGCTGATGTCTTCTGACTTAAATGGACATGTAGGTACAGATAGAAAACATTTCTTTTTTTTCTTTTCTTTTCTCATTTTGAACACAGTACTTCATTCTTCCTTTGGCCCCTTTCTGCTGGAAGAAGGCCAGACCAACCCTTCAGACTGTTCCTTCTGTGCAGGGTGGGGGCTGGAGTCCAGAACTGAATGATGTTAAGCTTTGAAGCTCTGCAGACAGTGCCATGACCTGATGTTGATTTCTGCCAGTGGATTTCAATACAGATGGCTCTGCTCTAACTAGCAGGACAATGGTTGAATGGTTTATCTTAAATATGTGTAGCAGTCTTGTGCATAAGCATGCTCAACTGACATAAACCTGGCCTATATATGTTTATCCTGCCTTTGTACATTTATTTTACATCTAAAAACTGGCATAACTATTTAAACTCTTACGTGAGCACAAATGAGCGTGCACAGCTTTAATCAACCAATTTAATTAAGTTGTGCTGGATTTATGTATGAAGGAGCTTTGTGAAAGGAGAAAGTTTAGTCTCTTTCTCCCTGTACATCCATGCAGTCAGCAACAGCTTATCAGCTCTATTAAAGGATCATACTTCTGTGGGGGGCTCTGTTTGGGGGAACAAATGGTCCCCAACAACTTATGTTAAACATCTATGGAGTCCATATTTTGTTCAGATATCAGTAAATCGTGTATTTGCTAGACCTTCTAGGTAGTCTTTTTTCCTTCTTGCTTTCTCCCATCCAAGGAGGGAGATGATACTGAAAGATTTCACATAATTGGAACCAAGCTTCTCTTGTAATATTTTAATTAGTATTACATTATAATTAACTTTATAGTTTACTGTGAATGTTTTAATGGGAAAACTTATTGCTGATTTTACTAAATTGCGTATCTGTTGTAGCCAGGGCATTATCGGATGTTAGTTGCCAGAAAATCATAGAAAAGTTACCAGAATCATAGAAAAAGAAGTTTGGAAGAAAGCCATAGTGGTCATCGAGTCCAGCTCCCTGCATGAAGGAGGTCCAGTTAGAGCAGGCTGCTCAGGCCTTGCCCAGTCTGGTTTTGAGCATCTTCAAGGGCAGGAATTCAACAACCTGCTGAGCACCTCTTCCAATATCTGGCTACCGTTATGGTTTAAAAAATAATTCTTAAAAGTCTCTTTCTCTTACTGGAATTTCCCACATTTCAAATTGTGAGTTTCCCCTTGTCCTATCACCAAGGCGAAGGCCCTCTGAGCAGTCCGGCTCAATCTTCTCTTCACCCTCCCAGTAGACAGTTGTAGACAGCAATGAGATCTCTCCTTAGCTGCCTATTCTTCAGACTGGAGAAACTGAGTTCTCTCAGCTTTTTTGTTGTTTACTCCCACCCCTGAAACTTCTTGGTGGCGTTTGGCTTAAATATACAAATATATTACTGAATAGGGCAAATGAAAGGGAAACAAAAAAAATTTGAGACAGAAAGATATGGTTAACTTATAATGGTGGCTTGGAAACTAGTGTTGAGTGGCAGTAGGTCTCAAGTTTTGTGAATACTGAGTACCAAAAAGAAGAGGCCTTTAGCAGGCTACAAGGACATACAAGGATAGTGCTGGGCAAATAGCTCAGCAACCTCCAGAGCAAGGTGAAGTGGAATTTGTCCCTACTGTTTGGTGTCCTGCTTACCAACCCACCATCTTTATCAGCCGAAGTTAATTCCTTGTGGTGAACTTCATATTTGTTTTTTCTCAGTAAACCATTTAAAAAAAAGTTCCATGGGATAAAGTTTGTTATTTGCTCTGGGAAAAGTTGCCACGTCTTAGGTTACACTCATCTTCCTTTTGTCGTCTCGTTCTTAATTAGCCAGAGGTTGAGCAAGCTCTTCTGGCTGCTGCTGCTGCTCTGGATTACAAGGTGGCTGGGGCTGGGGGAGTGGGGTGGTTTTGGTACGTCATGGGGACTCATCTGGTGGAGAGGAGAAGCTCAGGCCTTGCCTCCCTCACGACGGTTTCTTTCGCTTAATCAGTCCGTGATAGAAAAATACCTGCCTTCTAATATTGATCTACATTTTTAGGATTTAATTTTGGGAGTTGCGTGTTTGTCTGTTTTGATATATTGTTTCCTTTTATTTAATTAAAAATAAGAAAACAGAATTATACTGTATTCTGCAAGTTATTGGTGTGCTCTGAAAGGCTTCTTCAGTCTGCAGTCAAATATGTGCAGGTAGATGGACATTTTCCTGTGGGAAATGGAAAGCTCCATAAAAATAATTATATTGCTATTGAATGTGATCAGATTTTGTTCTTGTATCTTTATTTAAAATATCTCTGGACTTTGGTCATGATTTTGTTTAGACAAGAGCTGAAGTTGAGAGCGTGGAAATATTAGTTCATGCGGCTTGTGTATATTCAGGGGGAAAAAACCAAGTGGAATTGTGTACTGCCATGGTTTCCTGACATGGCTTACTATGATACTCTTGGTGCCAGGTCTTCCTCTGGGTACAGTCACTTTCATTTACACAGGGTGTGAGCTTTAGTTTTTAAGAACTCCACCGCTATCACAGGTGTGTGGTGGATTGCTCTGTCCTTTGGTGGCAGAAATGGTTCACTGGCTCTACCAGCATTTTCCCTGGACTCTTGTGTGAAATTCAAAGACACTTTCCTTTATATTAGTGTACTGAAAGGTTCTCTGGATGCTCTTTGAACTAAAACCCTACCCAACTTTGTTTCCTTGGTCAGTGCTGTTACTAAGGAGATCATGCTGGAATAGCTGTCTGCCTGCATTTTGCATTGCTGTAATATGGCTGGTCTAACACAGAATAGCCATGTCAAGATTCATTCAATCTGAGGGGAAAATCCCCCTGGCATCTGCCTCAGGGATGCTTAAGTAGAACATGTGCAAGGCAGATGTATGTTCTGTAGTTCATGTATTTGCAAAGCGTGTCTTGTTTTGTTCTGTTTTAATTTGGTTTCTGCAAACAAGTTGTGGCTTGGTATCTCAGTCCTGCAGAACCTGCTTTCAAAGGAAGAGTATTTGAGACCTTTGCGTCTAGCTTGAAATCGATAAATCAATGGAAATACAAAGCCGTAAGTGGATCTCAGGAATGGTGCATAGTTGTGATTACATAGAAGGCAAAGAAGGGATGATACACAGTTATCTGGTATTTTTGCCTAAAGAAACTCAAGTAACATTTAAAAAAAAAAACCTCAAAACCAAACAAAAAGACCTCTCAACTTGAGGAGTGTTGCCTATCTTAAGCTGAAACTTTGGACTGATTATATTGATGGTAGTTATCCTCCAATAAGTAAATTGAGAAGTAATTAATTTTTCTCTTTCGTAACTCTAATAACTACTAGTATTTTGACATGAAAAAAGCTGCGCTTTAGTTTTAATAGGCTGCCTATCATCTTTTTCCATTGTACTCAGATTAATATCTTAATGGCTTATTCCATACAGAGCTTCTTTAATTCTTCCAGAAGTAATCAAACATTGTTCTCTGCACTGAATGAGGAGAAAGTGGTTCTGTTCCTGCATTTGCTAGGCATAGACACAAATGGACATGCTCATCGGCCAAACTCAAGGTAATTGAGAGATTAAGCATATCTTTCTTATTAGTTTTAAATGCATACAGTAACTTTTTTTACCAGTGCTATTTATCAAGCCTGAAACAAGACTTATAGTCTTGAGGGTTTCTACAACAGGCCATATATGTCACCATGATTACTTATGTTCTGAATTTTCCGGGGTTTTTTGTTTTTAGATCTCCTCTGTAGAAGTGACAGATTTTTGCTATATACTGTGTGCCTGGTTACACTCCTGTACTCAAGTCTGATTTTCAGCAGGTTGTCTTGGTTATAGTCAACACATAATCTAGACGATATGTAGGAAATTGCAGTTTTAAATATAAAATAGAAACTGTCCTTGGATTCCCCATGACTGAAATGGTGTGGTTGAATTTATAGACAACTCAGTAAGCTCAGGAATAATGGCTGCAGATTCCAGCATTATGTTTTAGCTTTCCTTAGGACACTTGAACAAAGAGAAGAGTTTAGATTAACAGTGCTCATCACCAATTCATCTTGAAGCGCATTATTTGAGAACTTTCTTTTCATTTCCTCGCATGCTTTGAATGTAGATATTATGTCTTTCTCTTGATCCTTGCATACTTTCAAAATCCTTGCTCTGATTCCCTACGTCATTCCAGAGTTCATGCTTGCTGTATGTCTCATGTTCTTTTTGTTATGATTTTTTGAAGATAGAGTTTTAAAACTGACTTTAGCAACAGCAACAAATAGAAAACTAGTTGGCTGAAAGTTAATCATGGTCACTTTTTCTAAAAATATACAAATTTTTGGTTTAACCTCTATTCCACAAAAGTCTGGGATCTGCTGATCTGTGAATCATCTCAAAACAATCCCTGCATGATGAGATCTTTGCTATTTAGTTACTGGCTTAAAGCAATTTTTGAAACTTAGAATTTAAGGTGTTTCAGTTTTCCAGAATTCCTTAGTTTTGGCATTCTCCTTAACTTGCCTGATAGCTGTGGGTGATTAAATTATAGTCTTCAATCAAGGACAGGTCAGATTTGAAATATAAATAAACATCCATTTGAGACTGTAGTTTCAGGAACCTTCAAACTATGCTGTGTCAATTTAGTATCTCACATAAGAGAGGAGGAGAGGTTTTACATCTAGGATGCCTTTTGTTAGCTTGAGGTTCTGTAGAGGATAAAGCTGTCTATAATCAAAGGACTGGGCATTATGACCACGGATAACTTGCTTTATACCAAGTGTGAGAGCCACTGTGAATCTAAAGACATTTTTTCTTATTTTTCTAGGGAATACAAGGAGAATATTAAAAAAGTTGACGAGGGTGTAAAGGAAATTGCTTCAATGATTGACAATTTCTATGGAAATGATGGAAAAACTGCATTTATTTTAACTTCTGACCATGGAATGACAGATTGGGGTGAGTCTTTTTAAATGCTGAGTCAGCTTTTTATGGGTGAGTATCTGGAATGCGATTAGAGCTCTGTCCCATTAGAAGCTTTGGGGCCCCTGCTTTGTTTTGATATCGTAAGTGTAGCTTGTATGTGAAACCCCGGCAAATTAGGAAATGGTTAATTGGCTGCAGGGGCCCTCATGAGTCCTGTGACAGCTGAGTTGAGTTGCATGTCTGGACAGAAAAAAGAAAATTAATAGGGTGAATCTTAACTCCCTTAGTGGCTGCTAGTAGGGATAAAAAGGCCTGAATACCACCTCTGTCAGAGCCTCCCTGCAGAAAACTAGCCCAAGCAGGAGGAGATTGTGTTATTCAGCTGCCAACAGCAAAGTTCATCTTGTTCCAGCCCTTGTGGGAGATACAGTTTTCACTTTGGTGCTCTGAAGTACCTGGAAAAGGTGGCAAGTCTGTCCAGGAGCTGGTGAAGAACTTTGCGGGGGGGATCTTTTTGCTTATTTTGGCCTTTTAGGCACAGCAGAAAGGATGGGACTGCTGTGTGGTCTTTCTAGAGGCGGCTGGTGCTGGAGACTAGGTGGAGCTGCTGAGAGTAGAAAAGGAGAGTGAGGCAGGTGGCTGGCCAGGCTGGTACCCACAGAAGGCACTTGTGAAGGGCGTGACCACAGTGGATGAATGACTTGAGGCAATTTTGGCGTAACTAGATTAAGGGCAGATGAGAAGAGTTTACGGTGGTGAACTCATTTAGACAAATTTTTTTTTTCTCCTTTTTTTTTTTTTTTCAAGGAGTTTAAGAACACTCCTGTCCTTGTGTGCAGCCAATGAACATGATAAGTCTCTCTTCCAATGTTGTGTGTGTTTGTAACTCCTAACTGTGATGCTTTTGAACTAAGGATGCTTCAGGCGTGGTCTTGGCAAAATTCAGCATCTTATTCTGTGTTTGAAATCCTAAACTTTTTAAATGGAAGGGATGCAGACTTTTTCTGTCATCAGAGATGACAAAAATATTCATATATTTATTCAAAATCAGCTTAATTACCATCTGCTTATTTGCAAAATAGTCTGTTTTGAATATTTACTGTTGAGCTGACTGCCACTTGCAATAAAATTTTAATTCTGGCATTTTTTTTGTCTGTTTCAAGTAATCATTTTATAATTTTTCATAAAGGAGT